ATGTTTAAAAAATATATTATGTACATATATTAATGGTATGTTCTTATTATGTATATCTTATGTATATAGTATGTGGATATTATGTATGTCAAGTTGATAATTTATATATCGTATTTGGATGGGTACGGCATGTGGCAACCGGCGTTTTCGGTGCAACAGAGACTGTCAGATGCGTTTCTTTCTTCAGGGCCCATGATTTAAGGACATACTTGGTGGCTCATCCCACGGCTCGTACGTGGGTTATAACCCCAGTTATAAATGGGATAAGTAGGGTTAATCCACTTGTAACTGGGGTTATAACCCACTTACGAGCCGTGGGATGAGCCACCAAGCAGGGAGCTCGGAGAGAAAAGCACCAACCCTTTAAGGCTTGAACACAGGATTGACTGTGAAAAAGGTTGGGGTTCATCCGCTGGGATGGTGAGGCCTAAACTTGGTGAATCTGTTCTTGGTGGAGGAGGCGGAGAGTGGCAGATATCAGGCGTGGCCTTTTTTTTTCGAGGTCCTGTCGGTCCTGTCATGCCCGGAAGTTGGGCGGAAATTGCCTCGGAATTTGTGAGAGTCTTGGGAAACGGTTGCCTTGCAGATTCTTCCAAGGAGAAACGGCTGTTCTGGTTGGTTGCTGATTGAAGAGTTCAAACAGCACCTGGCAGGTGACAGAGAGAACCATGCAACAACTGCTGGAACTTTGGCAGGGGTCCAAGTTGGCTTGGGGGAGTATTTGAATTATTTGAATACGGTTCAATTGAAAAAGAAACCTTGCCACGGGGAGTACTCTTGGCAGCAGTTGGAATCGCTGTGTGGCGTACTGTGTTTGTTCAAATGAGGCAACGTGGAAACACACCAAATTGATCCAAATTGGGTGCCCCCCATCTCTCAGAACTCAGCAGCTAGTCAGCCACAGGGGCGATGTCACCATTGGTCATCTCATGTCATCTCCCTGTGTGTTCCTGGATAAAACTGACGATAACAACCATGTGGCATATATTGCACCATATGGTACCCCCATCCTGGTGTTTCAGTAGTGTGGTTTTTCCAAATATTCTCTTGGATTAGTGTCTTATCGCATGTAATAATAATAAGAATACATAATAGTTATGTAATTAGCCAAACTGGTGATACTGAAGATAAATTACTGGATGAGTTATGAATTTGATTAGGTGGCTTAATATTTGGTTGGTCGTTGCAATGACTGCTTTGGTTGACCAAAGCAGCGCAAAATCGAAAGTGGAGAAAATGATGGTTTCAATTACTGTACTTATTATTTTCAAGCACATTTACTTGGTGGCTCATCCCACGAATCGTAAGTGGGTTATAACCCCAGTGATTTACATGGGATAAGTAGGGTTAATCCACTTATAATTGGGGTGAACTAACCCATTTACTAAGTGGGTAGTTCGCCACCAAGTAGGATGAAGACCCCCAATGACTCTCCTATTTTTTAAACGCGTGGCTCAACCACCACTTCTGAGGCGACGACCCGAGGAAGGCGAATTTCTGATTCGTCACGCCCTGCTGGATGTGCTGCGCGCATTGGTGTTGATGCCGCTCAGCGGTTCAAACTCAGGATGTACCACCTGGATATGGCCATACCCAACCTGACCAAGTTCGCAAGGACGTGTTTTGGAGGTAAAACGTTTGAAGAATAGTTGCTGCAATGAATGGTGTGATTGGTTTCAAACTTTATACCAGTTTTGCATCCAGGAAAATGGCTGTACCGCAAAAAAAAAGTCAGAAAAGCCCTGCAAATGATGGTACAAACCGCAAAGTGCTTGTTTCCCTCACATGTTCCCTTCAACCGAATGAAGCACAACGGCGACGTCACTGGAATGATGGTTCGTATAGGTAACTATCCCATAATGCCGAACTTTTCCTGTTGGTGAAGCATGGAATATATCCAGTTTCACAATTTGTTGGTAATAGATCCATATAGATCCCATAACATCTCCAATATATCCCGCAATCATCCCCATTTGGGGTGTATGAAATTGGGTAATTATACCCCGATGTATGTGTTTTTTGTTTTTTAAGACAGTCATGGTGGGTTAAGATGGTTTGTTATTTAGGATTTTACCACCTTAAATCATGTCAAATGTCATGAAAAAAATCCACTTTCCCTAGTTAAATAGTTAAATCCTCATTTTCCGTAGTAAGGAACCCAATTGTGTGAGGAATTACTAGGGAAAATGGATGAATTTCCATAGTTTTACCTCCCATCCCCCCAGGTCCTGTCGTAGTCGGAGTCCACGACTGGCGTTGTCTCCGCCTCTTCTGAGCTGTTGCCCGAAGCCGAGACTCCGAGACCATGGATCCAAGACATCGGTGCCCAACATCCTGGTGATTTTGATCAAAAGTAGGGGATACAAGGTGGTGCCCCAGTTCGTTAGCTAAGTTGGTGAACATAACTCCCATTAAACCTATGGTTTATGGTAGATATAACGAACTAGTTCATGGGGTTTATAAACCAACTTATAACTGGGGGGCACCATCCTGTAAACATACAAAAAACCATGGAACGATCCACCATGCAATAAGAATAGGAAAACCATTGGAAAACCATGGGAAAATATGGTGATTTATATCGAAAATCACCATGCTATTAATGGGTCAATCAACTATTTCGACTGGGCCATGGCTTTTGGATGCTTTTTGATGCTTTTTGATGCTTTTTGTATGTTTACCAGAGGGTAACATGACCCTGCTCTTCTTTGGGTAGACTTTCTTGGAACGAAAGCTGGGGACCAAGGTTTGACCGTGATCTCGGACTGCTACGCTGTACATCGAGGTCCGGACCTCATCCAGCTGTGCGACTCTTGGTGAATCCAGCTGATTTTGAAGATATTTTTAAGCCCAGTGTTGCTGTTGTGCGGTATATTATATTACATTACTATAAATTATAATATATATATATTGTATCCTCTGCTTATTTAGCATAGCCATGGAATATATGTCCTATTTAAAAATAATGATTTTCCATAGCTTCAATGACAGGGTAGATGCTTTCCATCCAATCGACCTCCAAACATCGGCTTGGCTTAGCAATAATGCCATCGAATCCAATTGATGGGTCATGATCTACTCCAGGAGATTATGATATTCTCATTATGATTACGCAATATTATCGATGTCTTGCGAGACTATTCATTTATTCTTCATTGTTTTTGACCAATGATTCAAAGTATATATATATACAGTATATATATATATATATACATATTCTTATTCATTGAAAGGGTATAATCATTATCACTCATCCAGCTAATAGCTATATTTGTTGCTATTTCTAGCTGCTTGTTGGAAAAGCCAGTGGTCATGGACTTGGCTGTCCCCTTGTTTGATATCAAGATTGAGAAGGTTTTTGCAATTCTTTGCACATTCCAACCCTCCTTGCGTGATGATGCTTCTGGCCAAAAAGTGTTGGAGCGGAGCTGATTGAAGCAACTCTATCATACTGTATATATATACATATAATATATATATATATATTATAATATATATATATTACAGAAAATCTAGGTATAGTATTGATATATCATTTAGTTGGCCCAACCACAAGCGCTGTTTTTTTTTTCCCGGAGCCGGTTTTTTTTCAGGTGGTAACTCCAGTGGATCCAAGGGAGGCTATGAAGCTGGCGCCGCCCTGCAGGCTGGTGACACGTAGTAAATGGATTATAACCCCAGTGATTGACATGGGATAAGGAGGGGGTTAATCCACTTATAACTGAACCAACCCACTTACTAAGTGAGATGAGCCACCAAGTATGTATATATATATATATTAAATATATATATATATATCTGGTTGGTGGTTTCAAACATTCGGATTATTTTCCATTTCATATGTGGGATGTCATCCTTCCCATTGACTAATATTTTTCAAGATGGTTAAAACCACCAACTAGATATCCATTATATGTCCATATGATTATCAAAGATATATCCTATGATTATCATAAAATGCACTTACGTCCTATGATTATCAAAGCTTGCAAATATTGTTTGGTCAACAGAGAAGTTTCAAATGATACAATGTGGGGCCCCCGTTTACGAAATCGCTAAGTTGGTGAGCGTAACTCCAATTTCACTATGGTTTATGGTACGCAAATAACTACATTTACGGGGGTTTCTAAACGAACAAACATAACTGGGGGCCCACATTATATATAATATTATAGCCCAAAAACGCGGTATGAATGAAATAATGTAAGTGAAAACGATAATGGTTCGTATCTTCTTGAGAGCCCAAGTCATTGAGAGTTCCTGGAAGTCTCTCTGCAGATTGCCCTGGCCTCAAATCAGAAACTATGATGAAGGTTTCAGTGAAGTGTACTAGTACGAAATGATTGGTGCCAACTGGCGCAAAATCTATTTCGGTCTCAGATGAGAAGTGTCAATGTCAACCAGTGTCAATGTTGGTCCGCTCAGTGGTACGACCATCCACCCCATTAGAAAAATCTGTTTTGCTGTGTTTTGTCAAGGCCCCAAAAAAAAGGGCGTATTGTCCAGAAGGTAACCCATGGTACCCCAAAAATTTCATGGTTTATCTTTTGTTTATCACTAAGTTTCCTCAGATTTCATGGTGCAAAAAAGGCTGATGCAGAAGCAGCTGCAGGTGCGGTAGAAACTTTGACGTTTTGGGGTATGGTTTCACAAGCATTGTGGGGAGCTCAAAAATGGATGTCTTTGAAAATGGGATGATTTTTTCCGCATCAAATGGCCATTTATTAGGAGGGCATGTATGTAAAAAACCATGAGATTTTGATGAATTTTGTGGGTATCACATCCGAATGAGGCCTTGGCCACATGCCCAGGGGCTTGCTGAGAGTACTATGGCCTCCCAAATACAGACATTTTCAATGCACCAAAAGATATGAGGCTCAAGATGGCTCAAAGGCGTGTCTCTTTGCACTTTTTCCAGCTTTTTTTTTGGAACCTTTCGGGAACCGTTCGAAAAAAACCTGCAGTACCTGTTGAAGTCTGTGATTTTCTGGGATTTCTCCATGGTCTCATGGTTTCCCAGCGTCTCTGGTGACGGAGGTGCCTTGGGTGACCATGGCAGCGCCAGTGGGAGCCTCTTTGATTCTGGAAGCGTCTCTCGGAAACGACGCTGGGAGTCGGTAGGGATGGCCCTTGAAAAATGTCGATGAAAATTCAAGGGGGGCTCGCAGATGCTCAGGTTTCATCCAATTTTCAGGGTACCCACCTCTCACCCATAGCCACATCAAGAACAGCTGGGGTCAATATTTTTCTTTCTGCCCAGAAATCCCAAAGACGAGAAAGACTAGCTACCGAAAGAAGAAAGCCAAGAGCGGAATCGCCGGCTCTGGCAAGTACCATCAATGAATATGTAGAATCACAGGTACCATCATTTACCCACGAATACACGTACACGTCGGATCACGTCGGCAGATATATGAATTGGATGATAGCATCGGGGGTCTTGACCCGCTGTGTCCACCATACTTAGCTCACTTAGCTCCCAAACTCTTTGAGATTTTTTGATATATCCAACAGTGCTAATAAATATCACTGGTTGATGTATCAAATGCCACTATTTGAGCAGTTTTTGCCACCGAACATCACAGAAATATCAAACAGTGCTGGTGATGTACACCTTGATCACTAGCCATTTCAGGTTCCTAAATTGGAGGTTCCCCAGAATATATGGCCAAACATATGGTACGTTTACGTACCTCCATGTATTGGATCCTGGAATGACCATTGACGAAATCGCATGCTTCGGCTGGTTCGGCCGGCCAGTTCGATTCCCATGGGAACGACGAATCGAACCGGATCTTCGCCGAGGTTCTTTTCCTGGGAGTTCTACGCACCGTAGACATCCAGCAGGCCGAGGGCCCCGAGGGCCGAGTCGGACCCGTTGTTTTTGTGTGGCAAAGAACCCGGCTTTCCAACATGGGAACATGATTTTCTCAAGCGTCAACATATGTCAAAACTTATAAAACTTCATAATGCAGACCCTGTTGACCGAAGAACTAAAAAAGAATTTTGGGGGTATTAGGAACCATACCCCAAATGGGATTTATTGCGGGTACTACGCTAGCAGTTGTGGTTTCTGGTTTTGAAAGATACTACAAAAGATGGGATAAAGATGGGATGAGACAAACCCATAACTGTTTGAAATGGCCAGCCCGATTGACTGTAGGTTAGATAAAAATCTCTAGATCGCTGACATTTTTTTAAATAAATTGTCACCTATGTGATTCTTCTTCTTGTGTTGCTTTGGGTTTCCAAAGCGATTTGCTTTGGGTCCCTGGATCCACCTTCTCTGTGTTTAATGTTTTTTAGGCAGCGGAATTGCCAGAGGTCCGATTTCGGAACTGCCAACTGAGCGATTGACCTTTCTAGACATACTAAACTAACAAAAACCATCCGCGGAATCAAAAAATGTGGGGCACCCTGTTGACCCAAAAGATCATTCTTCCATTGGTTCATTAATCCCATATGCTCAATGTATGGAATATTTAACATTTACCAACATTTACCCATAAATCACCCAAATGTATGTAAATATACTATACATGAAGCATTTAGGAATGTTTATGAGGGGTTTGTCGGCACCCAACTAAAACAGCTTGAGGGTTACCACATTCTCATCGCAGGCAGTGCCCTTGATGCCCTTCTTCCCACAGCTGTTGCAGCAGCAAGCGTCCCTACCGGTGCTGTTCTCAGTGCCATGGTTGCTGACCGATCATCAATTCACTGGGAGTCTCATTTATTAAAAAAAGTAATACATAGTAATACAAGTTGTCCTTGGGCTGGAAAGTTACCCTCTGGTAAACATACACAAAGCTATTGAAAATAGCCATAGAAATAGTGGATTTACCCATTGAACATGGTGATTTTCCATCGTTTTTTGTATGTTTACCAGAGGGTAAATCCACATTCCCATTGAATCTCCATAAATCACCACCCGATCACCAGCCGACTCCAATGGTGGCCTCCAGGGACCTCCTGCAGAATGGACCATGGACATCCTCTTGGAGTGCCACGGCAAATTTTCTGGGTTTTTGGGAGGGATGATCATCTGCCGAAAAAAACACACATTAAAAACACATGATATTTTAGATTTAGATGTATTATATTGTATTATATATTATTAGATGTATTATTTATTATAGTTATTATAATATATGATAAGAGTCATAATAATTATATATATATATTATGTAGATAATTGTATATCGATAGTGAATGTATGTCTATGTATATGTATGAATGTCGATATATTCATATGTATCTTTTAGAAGCCATTTTTCTGGAGCTTTTCCTTGTAAAAATGAGTTTTGGTCACTGCTCAGGAATGGTTTATACCATCTTTAAACATGGTGATGACTGGGGGATGGTTTATGAAATTGTTGACAAACCACATGAAACACCAATTGGGTGGTTTCCAAAACCATGAAGATTTCCATAAAGAGCAGAATTTTAATCAATTTTATGGGAGCTGGAGCCTCAACCTTGGAGAACCGCATGCAGTTCAGCTGAAAGATCTGACTGAAAGTGGCCTCGACTCTAGTCAGACAAATACGGTGATAGAGTGGTGACAATGATGTATATAAATACATACATATATATATATATAACCCCAGTTATAAATGGGATAAGTAGGGTTAATCCACTTATAGCTAGGGTTATAACCCACTTACTAAGTGGGATGAGCCACCATATATATATATATATATACCCTCTGGTTATTTAACATAGCCATGGAAGCCATGGCCCATAGAAATAGATGGTTTACCGAACTTAATAGCATGGTGTTTTTCCATGGCAAACTGTGAATGTCATAACCAGAGGGTATCATCTAAATGAAAAGCCGCGAGAAGATCTTTTCCGTGGGTTTCAGCGGTGTATCAATTGACCAGCTGCTTGTTAAATCGCCAGCCACAGCTTCCGATTTCTAAGGTCATGTTGCGGTATTTCCTCAAACACACTGGTTCTTTTTGGAGCTATACTAGGGGTTTGGGACACTTTCAACTTCATCTAATTTTGTAACATGTTTAAACATTAAGCAGTTATGAGGTATGTTTCCAAAAATCAATCCCTTCACACTTACTGTTCAAGAATATCAAAACAAAAGCGATTATAACAATTTTTTGGGTGGATTAGCCTCCATTTCCCAACATTTCCCAACTATTTTGGGCCCACGTTTCCAAAATTCCAAGGTTTTAAGCTCTGAATGTGGGTTTGTCTGAAAATAGTGTATATTCCCAATTATAGCCATTTAATAGGGATAATGATCATTAACCATTGGGTACAATGGGGTACACTATTTTCAGACACACCCATGTAGCAGCTGCTGAACTTACCGAGGTACTGCGCACTGCATTGCTCCGGAGGTGCTGAGTTGCAGTTGCAGCAGATGCAGCTGAGGGATCGACTGCGGAATGAATGGAAGAAAACTATACGGTGTATATATATACATATATATATATCAATATATATATATATATATACACATATCAATAATATATATATATATATATAAGGTAAATTATAACGACCTCACTGCGACCTCACTGGAATCATGGTTAATAAGGGAAATCATCCCCAAATGGCCTGAATTCAGGTTAGTGAAAGATTTTTTTTTCCATTTTATTCCCAGATATAATGTTCTTAATCCACTAGTATATGTTGTTATTATCAACTGCTGATAATTGTTATTTTAATCATAGTAAGACTAGTAATGATAATGATAAAACATGTGATGATGATGATGATGATGATGATGATGATGATGATGATGATGATGATGATGATGATATGTAATGACATGTAATGATATGTAATGATATGTAATGATATGTAATGATATGTAATGATATGTAATGATATGTAATGATACAGTATGTAATGATACAGTATGTAATGATATGTAATGATGTGTAATGATGTGTAATGATATGTAATGATTTGTAATGATACGTAATGATATGTGATGATATGTAATGATATGTAATGATATGTAATGATATGCAATGATATGGAATGATATGTAATGATCATAATATGTAGTGATAGTACTGATACTCATTTTCAATCATGATAATCCCGACAACCACAGGTTTCAAGACTAAAATGGTCTAATTTTGGATGATTTGGGTACCTCCATTTTTAGGAAACCTCCCATAATCACAATAAGAATATACGTACCAATTTAGTAATAGTGAAAGCAGATACTGTAATAAAAATGATAGGAGTAGTGAACAGCATTTTTTTTTGCCCCCTGAACATTACGTTCAGTTCCAATGGATAATGAAACATGTTTTTCGTTATCAATGCATGTGACCGCGAAAAAACCTGCATGGATTGATGCACGGACAATGCTGACTGCAATCTTCCGTGATGTCATCCACTGATTAAAAAGACTTACAGTAATTGTTGCCTGCATCTTTCAATACTTCCAGATCTTTGCGTTTTCTAGGTCCTCAAGTTGTGATAACATGTTTCTGCAACAGTTTCTGAAAGTTTGAGACCGACTGACTCACTTCTGCTCCGACCACCAGTTGTGGCTGAACCAGGTGCTTCTGGTCACTTGCTGCAATTCTACCCGGCTCTCTTGAAAATCTGTACCGGCCCAAGTTTTCTGAGATTTTTTTGGGCAATATCGTCACGGAAATTGGTGTGGCATGTTGATGTTTGCACAGGCCGGCAGGAGATGTGTCTGAAAGATTCTGAAAGGACATTGCTGCAACGACTTTGATAATCTTTGATCATCTTTTATCATTGGGTGCAATCGTAGCGTGATCGACCTAGAGGTTTGAATCAATGGATTGGTAGGGAAATGTAGGGAACATCAACAGGAAACCATCGATTTTCTATGATTTTCTCATTAAATCCATTGGTTTTCCTGTAAATTGTCCCACCAATCCATTGATTGAAAGCATACCATTCCCCTTCCATACCCATGTCAGGTCAATCCCAGTTGAGTGAAGCCAAAGCCAGCCGGAGCACGGAGATGAGTTGGGGCCTTGGGGCCGTTAGATGCCGTTAGATGCCGCGGCCGTTAGATGCCCGGCGCGTGGCAAAGGTTGGGGCATAACATGGCAGTGTGTCAAAACCTTGTACCCCTGGTGAACATCAAAATAGCTGGTAAATGGATGTTCATCTCACTAAAAATGGTATTAATAGGTATTGATCCATACCCACATGGTAATATCTTTCCTGGATGGCAGAAATACCCCGTGAAGTCCTGGTTTTTATGGTTTTTAGTATTGGATTTGTTCAATTTTGTTCATTTTTTCGGGGGTCCCTATGGGGTATTTCTGATGACCGCCGGGTTTATTTAGAACGTACTAAATTTACTAAATGAATCTTATAATTTTCCAGTTATTTGTTAGGGAACCACGTGAGTTCGACCAAGTATATATTTTCAATCGAAAAGGGAAGGACTGCCGCCTAGCATGTGGGAGTGAATATTGAAGGTGAAAGTGCCACTTGCTGACCCAGGAAATTCCTGAAAACATTCCTCTCGTGTTTCTTGTGGGCCGGAGCTGCTCTCATCATTGGTTGAGTTTGCCTCAACACGGGCAGGGAAAAAGTCATCTTCAAAGTCATCTTCCGGATATGATTCAAATTTCTGTGAAATATTAATCCCCTGTTAATGGAGGTTTTAATGGAAGATCATCCATAAACAGTGCCATTTCCCATTGTCACATACAATCCCCATGGTACTCACACTAACTGCGGAGCACTTGTGCTGAACCTTTCCATGGAGGTTAGGCACTGCATTGGATGATCAATTCGAACACACTGATCTATTTTCAAGCGAATTATAGCACCTATAGCACCAGCCAATAAGATAGCGCAGTAAAAGGTCATTTATCACAATGAACCTTATTTTCGTAGGATTTTGATTTTCCATGTTTTTGGAGATTGCTATATTTGTTATTTTCCTCTGGAAGCCTGCGGCTGCATCCACCAAGCCATGGCTTCTCCATCGATGCTGGTTTTTGATAAATAGATCCACCAATTGGCGAAAGAAAACACATGGTTTATCTAAAAACTCATTCACTAAAAGACTGGTGCCTCAAAATGTGTATATACCAAATACAGTACGTGATTGGTTTATTATCATGGTTATGGGTAAAAATTATCATGGTTATGATTCTTATGAACCATTTCCATACATTTCCCCCAACTTTTTCGAACTCAACCACTGAGGTCTACAGCTCCTCCAGCAAATACCTCAGAGGGCTGGATATCGTCTGTTGATTTACAGTTGGAATCTAGCATGTTTATGTATTTTTTCACTTTCATATTTTCACTGGCTTAGTGTGGTTTAGTGCATATGATTCAATTTGCTAATTTGGCTGACTGACCTTGAATCCTATAGGTTTGCATGTTTTCTTTGGTTGAAAATTGTTTTGTATGTGACTCCTGGCGTGGTTCATCACCATCAATTGTGCTGGTTTGAACCAAGAAAAAGTTCGGGATGGTGATGATGATCCCCAGCTATTTTCTGACACTCGTTCAACCTACCATGAACATAGGATGGGTAAAGAAATAAGACCCAGCGGAGCCCAGGGTAGATGATTTCGCTGATCGTATGTCCACTTGGACTGTGGCACTTTGACACAAGTCTCCGAACATGAGGCTCTTGCTGGCTCATGCTCCAAACGTCGAAGTAGGGGAGCTTGGTGAAGGAACAGGCTCCCCTAAAGGATCCTAAAGGCTTTGGACGGGTGCGGTCTCGCCAAATTGGGGTGTGTTTCCAGGCCTTTGCAGCATGGAAGACTGTGAAACCTGGCGTGATAGAGGGCCTTGAAGACCCCAGCCTGGCTCGAGCATTCGTGGCTTGTTGAGGAGTTCATAGTGAGAGCATGTCATAGCGGTTCTGTGCTGCAACCATCATATCAATTTATATATATATATATATATCATATATATATATATATACATCATATCCCCAGTATGAAGCGATTTTAGATGCTTAAATCATCTTAAATCCTTGGTGTCTTCTGTGTTCAACATGTCAACCATCTCATCTTTTCACCGGCGCAAAAGGGGCCACTTTATACCAAACCAGCGAGTCGTTGAGGCCTTGCAGCAGACCAAGGAGGTCATAGCAAGCTCCTCAGCGATCGACGGAAGGTCTTGGTGCGTTTTACGTAGGGTGGCTGGATGGGTTGCTGGGGGTTGCTGGGATGATGACATTACTAGTGATGACTGGGATCATTCCCGAAAATTCCCTGCGTTTAGCACCAGTAAGCATAGCACGATGTATGAATTCCAGGATGGAGATGTAATTTGATGCCCTGGTTTCAGAAATCTGTGACGCAATTTCAAATTGTGTTTTATTTTTAAAATCGAGGCCTTAATTGGCCCCCTGAAGCCATTTTTCTTCCTAGGTGCCTTTGTTCCAGTCTTGGGTCGGGAAGCCTGGGAAGCCCAAGGTCCACAGCGGAAAGTTTTGAAGGACATTTGTTGGATATTGAGGTGTGGGCGAATATGATTATTTTGATGTTATATGTTATCCAATCATATTGACATGCAATAACAATCATATATCATATGATATATATATATATTATCATATGATATATTTGTTATTGAGGATATACCCTCATAGAATATATTTGATGTTATGTTCATGCCCAGGAGGATAGGATTCATGAGATCAAACAGTTCAGAAAAACGGACAAACCATCAGATCTTCAAAGTTGATCTACCGTTTGATTCTGGGATGACAGTCCATACTTATGAGAGATTCGGCACATTTCACACATTTCACTGTTCTGATGCCGTTTGCTTTGACTGGTGGTGTTTTCGAAGTAAAACAAGCGCGCCTCAAAAGAATTCGAAGTAAAACAGGACCAACGCATGATACAAGACTTACAGATTTGCGATCTATCTTGTCCTCACTCTACTTTTTCTATCTTTTTCTCACATAGACTCTTAGACCATGATAAGAAAACATCCATCCACATCCACATTACCCTCTGGTTATTCAACAGTATATGTGAATGGACAATGGATGAACATTGCCTATAATAGTACTATCTGGTTATTTAACATAGCCATGGAGTTCGGTAAACCATCTATAAATGGACCATCCATTCCATGGCTATGTTAAATAACCAGAGGGTAGATGATTTAAAATGATCGACCTACTAAAACACGGCGATGTTTACCGATTTTTCCTCAAGCATTGGTCTTCACATGACATGCCGTCTCGGTCGACTCATGGTCAGGTGACTACCTTCGATCCCTGGGCCACCAAAAGTGTGGGAGATCCTGGCGGGCGCCGGAAGCTATGGCAGTTCTAAGATTAGGAAGTAGAGTCATCTGGTTCAATGATAGTTAATGATGGTTGATGATGGTAAATTATGCTTAATCATGGTTAATAAGGGCTAATTATGGTTAATAACAATCTGGTTAGTGGTTTGGAACCATGGAATTTTATGACTTTCCATTCAGTTGGGAATGTCATAATCCCAACTGACGAACTCCATAATTTTTCAGAGTGGTAGGTATACCACCAACCAGGTCATAGTCATAGTCATTCTGGAGCACATAGAATATGACATGAATTATCATAGATGGAAACTTCAAGCAATTTAAACCTAACTTCACAAAAAAATGGGAAGATCTTTGAAACATCCATAGTCTATCTACTTCAGGATGATTATTTGTATATTGATGGAAGTATAACCCTAGGTCACAGCATCATGATTTCTGGCACCATTGTTTTGAAGAACCAATTCATAGATTCCCAAATTTCTCATTGTTGGTGATTGATGAAGATTGGGTTTGAGGCTCCTGTTGATCAACCCATGGTTACGATTTATAGTAGGGTTTGTTTGACCGGCCCCTCTATTTCACCAAAGGGACGTGATGGTAACAACAAAGCAGGCTCTAGAAACATTAATGATTGCGCCTGGAAAGTTGATGTGGAGATTGTCCTGCATGGAACAAGTCAAAAGTGATTTAAGTGGCAATTTCTATGGCATTCCCATATTTCCGGATTTCAAAAAAACCTGGCAAATCACTGGCTGTTTTTCAGTTGGTTGCTGGTTCTTTTATTTCTGGCGACGGCCAACTGTTGGGGATCACTGGCGCAGAACTTTGCGCTGCCCATTACGACCTTTCTGGGTCTTCTCGGGGTCTGGCTGGCGACGTTCTGGCTGGATCGGTGTTTATCCTCTGGGAGCTGGGGACCGAAGACCCGATCAAGTGACGGGCTGGAGAACTAGCATGTTCTTTACATCATCTGATGGTTATTCCCTATTCAATCCAGTGCTTTATCATCATATATTCTCTATTAAAACCGATGTTTTTGAGGGGATACCATATTTTCAGACAAACCAATTCCAAGTGGTTGGTTGATCCAGTTTTGTTTTTTTAGACCAATGATAAATGGATGTAAATAGCAGCGTTAATTTATGTTTTTTTCTGACAATATTGTGTTTAATCACATCAGATAGTCAGATACCCCGTCTTTTCATGTCTTTTCTTGCTAGTATGATTGATGGAGCTGCAAGTTACCCAGGACCAGTCAGTGCTTGCCTCTTCTTTTGAGGTAATATTTTTTTGATTGACCTTGAAGCAGATTCTGAAGAAATCTCATGAAAACGAGAGCCTCAAATCCCGATCAGAAGTTTGAACAAGCCGGCAGTGTTTCATTACTTTCCTACAAGTTACCAACAGATTTGCATAAGTGAACACCTTGATATGTTCGAAGCTTTTAGGCGTATGGGGTCCAAATATGGTCGAAATTATCCAAATTTCAACTGGTTGGTGGTTTCAAACATTTGGATTATTTTCCATTTCATATATGGGATGTCTTTCCCATTGACTAATATGGTTAAAACATGCTAAAACCACCAACCAGTATCGTGTTTATGGTTGTATATTGAACGCTGCAGCCTTTTTCGCCAGGCATGGCATGCGTGCCACCCCAATGACTTCACAGAGCATTGCTTGCGCTTTACGGAGCAGGTGTTCCGCGCGGGATGCCATGAAGATGAAGAGAGATATACCACAGGGCCATAGGGTAAACATACAAAACTTACTGATGCTTAGCAGGGAATGAGGGAATGATCCACAATAACTATCAATAATCATCCCATTCCCCCATTCCCATCCATTCCCCACTAAGCACCAGTAAGAAAAAGATATCGAAAACATGGCTTAGCCAGGAAAATCATCTGCACATGGTGGTAAACACCATATCTATGAAGAGGTGAACAGCAGGGTAATGGAAACCCAATGATAAGGTTTACCCAGTCTTACCAGACATGGGGTGGTAAAGCGATCCCAATTAGGTTTATTATTGTGTTTGCCACAGCAATGTGATATTTCTCAACAATCAATAGGAATTAACCAACAAGAATGGGGCTACAAGACCAACCTTCTGGATATATAGTGTGGATATAATATGATGTAATTATATCATGCGGATTGCAATGGAAATATAATCATAGAATTGGATTATGGGAAAAATTACAGGAAAACTCTATATTTGATAGTAAAAACCATGGTTTCCTGTAGATTTTCTTTTAATCCAATCCAGTGATATAAGGGATCTTATTTTATGCCATGCAGTCCTCTTCCATTGATTTCAATGTGACAAGTCTTCGAAGGTGGTTTTTGCCTGAGCTTCAGGCTGCCTCCTGTGGGCTTCAAGTGCCAAAGCTTAGTGTGCTGCTGGCAGCGTGCTGTAAACAGGCCTTGGGGGTGGACAGAGCTGTTTGTGCAGTGTTGCAGATTGCAGTGATTGCAGATTTTTCTTGGAAGTTCGTAAAGTTTCATGTTTTCTATTTTTGTTTTTACGCTGTTTTTCATTGGCTTCACGTTCATTTCATCATACTCTTCACGGGGGATGCATCCACGCTTATCCAAGGTGGAAGGTGACATCTTTGGATGACATCCCTCGTGTCCGTGCAATCGCAGACTTGGTTTGCCATGAAATCTAAAGTGGGTTCCCATACCCTCTGGTAAACATACAAAAAACTATGGAAAATCCCCACTTTGTATAGATAAATCAACTATAGATGGCAATTTTCAGTAGCTATGTATGATAGTTTACCAGAGGGTAAGTGTGCTGGGACCATGGCTTTTCCGGTTTCAATTTTCCTAAACAAAGCCGATCCGATCCATCGCCTGGTGCAGGCGCGTTCCGTGGCATTAAGATCTGCTCCTTGGCTAATGGCACGCACCAGGGAGGACCGGAGATGGAGGGATTGGCCAAGAAATGGAGGTTTCCATAAATGGGGGTACTGCAAGAGACGATGGTTTTGGAAAATCCGACATTCAAATGGATGAGAACTGGGGGTACCTCCATGACCTTTGGACACCCTCAAATGGTGATGCCAAGAATCATTGGGAATGTAATTACATAAGCCTCGAAAATGGGGGTTTGTAAACCAAATCAGCCTCGAAAGACGGTGGATCAATTTTGGCAATTTTGGAATGGGGATCAATGAGATCTATGGAATTTTGCTGATGGGGTACCACTGGGCCCTCCACCACCACCACCACCACCACCACCACCAAGAACATCCAGCATGCCAAGAAAATCCAAGAAATGCTCCGAGAAAGGTCGAAGGATCAAAGGTACAGTGGCGTCACACATTTCCACAGACCTCATTTTGGACTCGGCCTTGTGAAGTCCACTATCCCGGACTTCGTATGCAATTCCAGTATACGAAGACCTCTGAAAGTAAACCTCAAGTTGGTTTTTACGCACCTTGAATTGTGCTTCCAGTGTGTCAGTGGTACCATGTAGCTTAGATATTTCCATTGAAATTTGGATAATTTTGGCATACCATTGCCTCTAATTGACATACCATTGCCTTAAATTATTTGGTATTACGTAGATTTAGATACGTTGAAGAGTGAAATTCACCATGCAAGTGTTTCTTAGAATGAATGGGCATACCCTCAAATGACCTAAGTTGTTTGACCATTTGGGCAATTTGAGTATTGAAACCATGGTTCGAGCAGCACCATGGTCTTGGGGTTGCCCATGGTAACCCACCATGGAACCATGCTCTAGCTACGCAACTGCCACGCAACTCTCAGTCCGTGATGAGTGCAGCGCTGGCCTTGGCGCCAAATGGCGTCGAGGAGGCGTTTCTCAGCGGCAGGTAGAATAATCCCCCTATAGCAACCTCTATATAACAAGATAGAAGTTGGATGGCATTCTATGTATTAAGATGTATTAAGATAGTTAAAGAATGTAATAAATCCGTTTTCCTATCATTTTGGGGATAGTATTGATGTTAGAATTTATTGAATACCTCCACAAGGGACCAAAGAAAAGATTCAATGCTAAGCCAGGGTTTCGTTTGTATTTGATATCAGGGAATGTTGAACTTGGGATCCATAAATCATTTCATGTGGGTGTTTTTCTGGGGATATCTTTTGGGTATTCATGGAACACCACCAGCTTACTGTATGTCTTTGGTGTGTCTGAAGATGGTATATCCCTCTGGTAAACTAACATAACTATGGAACATCACCATTTTGAATGGGAAAATCAACTATGTCTATGGCCATTTTCAATAGCTTTTTGTATGTTTACCAGAGGGTATCCCCCAAACTTAGATTTTGGTGCTACTATTTTCAGACACTCAAACCCAAGCAACCGGCTTTGGGCCAAGCCCTGAAGGTCTTACGGGGGATTGACCAAGCATCAAGCCCGTCAAAGGTAGCAATGGGAACTCCCCTTCATACCTTGGAAGTTTTAATGGAAAAGAACATCTATAAATGGCGGATTTTCCATTGCCATGTGTGATTTCCGGAAGGTACATGGGAATATAACTTAGTATAGTATAACTGTATAACCAATGAACATGGGGATGTAAATCAATCCACATGGCTAAAACACGGGGGTACTAATGGCCCCAGATTTTTTTTTCATTTATAGAAACTCAAATCGGGGTCAATAATTTTGACCCGCCCTTCAATGATTCAAGGAAGCAACGCGTCGAATCAGGTCAATTTTTGCATCCGCATCCCCCACAGTTTTTTTTTTGTGTTCAGGCCTTGCGTGACGAGAGAAACCCTTGAACATCACCAGAGCGGGAAATGTAACACATGAACCTTACGATTGGCAAATATGATATAGCGATGATTGATAACACCTTGAAACTTAGGTTCTGGCGCGAAATCATGAATGGCTGTAGGGGAGCCCTGCTTGCTGACCAGATGGAATGTGGAGTTGGCTGATTTATCTTCAATGCCAATATGATCACACATGATGTACTGCACCAGAAGCCTCACGGGTGCTTCGTGGACTGAAATCACCAGTGGAAACTAGTGGAAACTGTAGAAATCTAACTGAATCTAACTAAAAATCATTCTGAATCCTTTGATTCAGACTCTCTAAATCCTCAACAAAATCCAGCTTAAAGTTGCTGGTTTTTGATGCGATGTGACATGGGAGGTGCACTGCCAGGTGCCATTTTTCAAAACTGCCTTCCCCAAGGGATCCCAATGAAGTCAACGTATGTCATCACACTAACATCTCACAACTTCATACATAAGTCAGATAATGTTTATCTGATGGTAGATCATCACCGTGTTTTTTTAATGTGTAGCTGTCTTACATCTCACAACATCTCACAACATCTCACAACATCTCACAACATCTCACAACATCTCACAACTAAAACAGATACCCATTTACCTTGAAGCATCTTGAAACCACCTGACCGTCCGCAGAAAACACTTGGGATGTGACTGATGTGACTCGTTACCTGACTTGCGTCGTTTGCTCGTGCGAGAGGTAACGAGTTGATCCTGGCAGCCAACAAACGGGGCATCTCAAGCGCGCTCGCCGGTGACGCCCAGTATGGCCCGGCGAGTGACAGGACCGGGTCCATATGGAATATCAAAGGGGATATGTTCACAGATTTCCATCATATTCCCATCATATTTCCATCATATTTCCATCATATTCCCATCATATTTCCATCATATTTCCATCATATTCCCATCATATTCCCATCATATTTCCATCATATTTCCATCATATTCCCATCATATTTCCATCATATTTCCATCATATTCATATTTCCATCATATTCCCATCATATTTCCATCATATTTCCATCATATTCCCATCATATTTCCCATCATATTTCCATCATATATTCCCATCATATTCCCATCATATTTCCATCATATTTCCATCATATTCCCATCATATTTCCATCATATTTCCATCATATTCCCATCATATTCCCATCATATTTCCATCATATTTCCATCATATTTCCATCATATTCATATTTCCATCATATTCCCATCATATTTCCATCATATTTCCATCATATTCCCATCATATTCCCATCATATTTCCATCATATTTCCATCATATTCCCATCATATTTCCCATCATATTTCCATCATATTTCATATTTCCATCATATTCCCATCATATTTCCATCATATTTCCATCATATTCCCATCATATTCCCATCATATTTCCATCATATTTCCATCATATTCCCATCATATTTCCATCATATTTCCATCATATTCCCATCATATTCCCATCATATTTCCATCATATTTCCATCATATTCCCATCATATTTCCATCATATTTCCATCATATTCCCATCATATTCCCATCATATTTCCATCATATTTCCATCATATTCCCATCATATTTCCATCATATTTCCATCATATTCCCATCATATTTCCATCATATTTCCATCATATTCCCATCATATTCCCATCATATTTCCATCATATTTCCATCATATTCCCATCATATTCCCATCATATTTCCATCATATTTCCATCATATTCCCATCATATTTCCATCATATTTCCATCATATTCCCATCATATTCCCATCATATTTCCATCATATTTCCATCATATTCCCATCATATTCCCATCATATTTCCATCATATTTCCATCATATTCCCATCATATTCCCATCATTTTACATGGATTTAATGGGAATATGATGGGAATATAGTGGGATTTACCTTGAGGTGATGGGACGTAGCTATGGAGAATCACCATTCATCAACACATGCGCCATTTTTCATAGCAAACTGTTAAATAACCAGAGGCTAGACGCTGTAGGCAACTTAGAGAACCAATATTGAATAATATATACTACTATGATATTAATACGTTTTACATACTATACATTATGATTATAGATATCACATCAGACATCATCAGACATTGCTATAGTTGTAAGATATCACTCTAGATATTGAGACCGCAACCCTGGAGTCTATTGAGACCCAAACGACCTTTGTCGAGTGAACATAGCCATGGAACATCACCATTTTTAATAGGTAAACCATCTATAAATGGGCCATTTCCTATGGCTATGTTAAATTACCAGAGGGTAGCAATGAAACGGAGGTGGTTCACCATAAGCGGGTTCCGTACGGTACAGTTGGTCAGAGCAGGCAACTCGTTTACTTTCCATTTTTGCGAGAACCTTAGTTTTTCGGTTTCCTGAAATAGGGCTACCCCCAGTTCTCATCCATTTTTTCTTCGGATTTTCCATGAAGTAAACCATCCATTTCGATAATATCGGGCTACCCCCATGACTGTGGAAAGTGGTCCACTGCTGGTTTAATCTCTTTAGCACATCATACCTGCGCATTGGATGGGGAGAAGGAGCGTTTAAACCAGCTGAACATTTTTTTTGGTGATAGTATTATTAATATTTATTAATTATTATTTATGATATCGAGACAAACCCAAACGTTAGTGGTTATATCCCATTGTGTCCCCTTCTCCCATTGCATCCCATATTATATCCATATTAAATACATCCACATTACATCCATATTACATCCATATCGCATCCATATTACATCCATATTACCTCCATATCTCTGAAAGTCAAATGACTCAGTCTACCAACCAGTTTGTAGTGATAATCTACAATTAACCCATCGGCCATCGGTAATCCATGAGTCGCTGGGGTTCATGAGTGTTTTTTTGGGGGTATGACATCCATATTACCCATTCTATCATATCCAAATTGCCATATTGAATCTCATTGAATCTCATAACATGATATAAAAATCCTATCCATTCCGATCCCACATCCCACGATATCGATCAAAGGCTAAGACGCTTCAGTCCCTGAAGTCTTCCCTCTCGGCCAAGCTGCCGGCTCCTGTCGGGACACCTGGGAACATCAAATACCGAACTGTCCGCCATGGACTGCAGATCTATAGTCTAGCACTATAGGTAGATAATATCATAGACCTACTGTGTATTTGCTTATAACATAATCCATATATATATATATATATTAATATTATATGGAATTTTGATCATAGAACTGATTTTATAAGAACCAATTTATTTGACAGAAAAAAAACATGGTTTGGGCTGGAATTGGTTAGACCTCACTGGGGATATGTGTAATTTTTTTGTTTCTTGAGGACATATATCCTGCTGCTGGTCAAAAATTTAGTTTGCCATAGAGTACATGTGTTTTTTTATTGTTGTTGTAGCCTGGGTTCCACGTGTATGTGTGTGTGTGTCTGTGTATGTGTGCCTTCAAATAATATGTATAATATGTATGTATATATATATATTAATATACATACATGAATGAATAGTATCAATATGCTAATATATATATATAATTATATATAAATTTATGTCTATATATATATGTATATATATACACATACATGTTTTTGATTATATATATATATGTCCAAACACACTAGTAATACATGTGGTTGTCAATCTGCCTGTACCGGTCCGTAAAATTTCATAGATCCAGTTCCTGTAGCAGCCGGCCCCCTCTGGCATTTTAGGCCTCCGAGTCAAGGGCCCGTTTTTCGTTGCATGAGACCATGGTACTCCAAGGGCAATGGAGTTTTGAAAAGGTCCATGCCTTGAAGACCCGTATAAAAATACTTATGTTTTTTTGAGTTGGAATCCTGCGCTTTCACTGACATTGAGACATATGATTATGGGTTTTGTCCAAAAGATGGGTACTGATACCCATGTAAAATATCATTTATAATGACAATCTTAACGCAAAAATCACGAGAATCATTGGATGTTGTTGTTTTCCTGCATTTTTAGGAGTTTGCGCAAATGGCTCTACGATTGGATGTGACCTTGCTGAGTGGCCAATGTGCCCAAGTATTGGCGAACCCACAGATGACCGTCTCCGACTTGAGGCACCATCCCCAATAGGGGTGTATGGCACTTGGTGGCGAACTACCCACGAATCGTGGTTGTGGGTTAGTTCACCCCAGTGATTGACATGGGATAAGGAGCGGGTTAATCCACTGAAATAACTGGGGTGAACTAACCCACTTACGATTCGTGGGTAGTTCGCCACCAAGCAGAGGGTATATAATCACATATGATCTATTCGGGATTAGGTTTTTCATGATCCTCAGTCATGGTTGGCTCATGGAATGGTTTATGGCAGTCAGTTTACCACATCAACATGGATATAACATGGATATAACATGGATATGGTTCTGATATGGATATAGTGGGATATGATACAACGGGATATGTGTAGTGGGATGAAACCAATGATATTTAGGTTTGCCATTAGACCAAGCATGTAATACGGATATATATATATATACGTGTATATATATACACATATATATATACATATATATTATACATATATCATGGGAGTATTCAATGTGAATATCTCATTGTTTATGAAGTTGTTAAAACATGTTAAAACCCAACCAAACTGGTGATAGAGGACTATTTCATGGCGCAAAAATCCTGGAATCCTTGAATCTCTGGAAAACTCGGTGAAACAAAAAACCCTCAGGTGTTATTCATTAAACATGGCTGAATAACACCATTAACTTCATGAATAAGTGATGGTGAATTTTTCAAACGGTGGCACGTGAAAATATGATACTAAGGTGATATAATACTTCATTAACAAATGATGTTCCTTTAAAACCAGTATTTATATCAGATTTTTGAATTGCCACGTTTGATTACCAGAGGGTAAGGGCTAATGGTGTTGAAGAAACCTGAAATTGAATAAGTTGAAAGAAAGTGGTTTGGGCACGGATGTGACACTCAGGATTCAGTACGGATCAGAATGGCATTTATTGCAACCATGAAGTTCCCCAGAAGCTTAGCTGATGTTTAAATATCTCAACATATATATATATAGTAGTGAACCGTCGATTAATTATTTGGCATTCTCTTTTAACTGTTTGTTTGTTCACTAGGCTAGCGTTTCTGCTCAGTATGGGGTTCACTAGTTCCCCACTCTTTTTGGGAAAAATCCCAGAAAGCTGCCCAAAATGAATGCATCCAGTACAATTCAGCTTTTTTTTTGAGGGGGGAGTATTTTTTCCATGGGGTAAGTGATTAGTACTTAGTATCCAATGATTTCTGAAAAAGCAGGTCACCATTTTCGACTTTGGCCCGAAACTCTGCAGGCGGAGAGCGCAAGAGATGCTGAAGGTGCACATCAAGCATTTGGTATCTTGGCCACTGGATGTCTCAAGTCCAGATGATACTGCTCAGTGAACAGCAAAATGGGGAGAATGTAAGCTGGTTGGTGGTTTGGAACATTTCTTATTTTTCCATATATTGGGAATGTCAGCATCCCAACTGAGTTTCATATTTTTCAGAGGGCTAGGGCTCAACCACCAACGAGTAAGTGACACACAGTGATTCAGAAGGATTTGGAGATGCGACCAGCAAGAAAGTCCGTAGCTTTCCCAGAAGATTTGTCCGAACGGTTCTGTCTGTCTGGAGCGAAGTTTTTGGTGGGCAAATGTTGTTGTCTTTTCTTGACCTTGCTCAACTTGCGGTTCCCACAAGTCGTTGAGGTCATGGATCACACAATTGTTCTCTTGAACTTGAGCCAATATATTTCTTCACGGCAATTCCCCAGGTCTAACTTCCCACAAAGTGCTGCTTTTTTTTTTTCCCTGAATCGCACTTTCCAGTGGGGATCTCTACTTGAGACTACTACCCAAGTGAAGTGGGTCAAAATCATCAAAGTGCGCACCCTGATTTCTGGACTTATTCCCTTCAAAGACAGGCCATTTTTTTCAGGAGGCGACTGAACGCTTGACTGTTTGCATCCCATTTTTGGTCATCATTATATAAATTTTCCATAGCAAGACGAACCGACTAGCTTCCTGAGGTCAATCTTTTATATTCTCATGTCCCATGAAACCGACTAAATGCTCACCCATATTCAACCATACTGTTGCTTGATATCCCTTCTTTTCACTCATATTGTTAGGTCAAACAAATCACATGACTATCTCTAGTAAACCCTGGGTGTATCGATTACAATCTATATATTTCCGTATAGTATCTATAATTTTCCACAATTTACCATGAACATACTTTACCAAATCTACGTATAGACACATATATTCCTGGAAAATGTGTGATAAACATCATTGATACCTGATTTTACACTTCTATCTTTTTCGGGGTTGCTATAGTTAAGTATAAGAACTATTAATACCAATATCCAATACTCAAAATAATGGGTAGCATCCATATAATTAATAATAATAACAATAATTAATTCATAATACTAATTAACTTTCCATATTCCCCACACATATTCCCCTATAAATAGCAGTTTTATTGGCCATGGTAATAACGACTTTCCCATGTGTATATACTGGGATATAATCTCCATACGTCCATTTCACAAGAACATTTACCACAATCATGAATTCCCATGTTAGCCATATTACATATTAATCATATCATCATATCCATAGAGCCATGATATTATCATATATCCACATTTCATATCCATAGATTATCCATAGAATATCCCATAGATTATCCGTATAATACCCGGACCCATATAATATCCATATTCATAGAATTAGAATATTCACAATCCATGGAATATCCCATAGATTATGCATATCATATCCATATATATATATATATCATATAATCCACATTTCATATCTCATGTGATGAGCCAAGCTAGCCAAATATATTAAATACCCTCTGGTAAACTAACATAACTATGGAAAATCACAATTTTCAATGGGAAAATCCACCATAAATAGTCATTTTCAATAGCTACGTTAAATTACCAGAGGGTATATCCCATCCCCAAAGATTGTGGCCTCCAGGTGACCTGTTCAGGCCGTGTGCTGTGCAACCTTCGCAGCCTCAGCGAGGAGGGGCTGGTGAACAAGGATGCCTTGACGGCCACGGTGCGACAGGTGGGGATGCCATGGATGCCATGGATGGAAAAACCACTTGAAGAACCATTACCCTCCAGTAAATTAACATAGACCCTGGCAGTCATCGGGGTTGGAAGACTAGTTTCCACCATGGTAAAAATAATGGTTTCTTACCATTTACATCCATTTACAATATATATACCCTCTGGTAAATAAACATAGACCCTGGAAATCACCAATTGTTAGAGGAAACTAGTCTTCCAATTCCTATCTGCCAGGGTCTATGTTAATTTACTGGAGGGTAATTGGAATAATGAATGGGATAATTGAAGCAGTTAGGAATTAAACATGATATTACCATGTCGGGATGTATTAGCCCTCTGGTAAACATACAAAAAGCGAACTGGAACATCACATCTTTAAGAAAGGTAAATCAACGAACTAAATGGCCCATATTTTCAATATCGAACTGTTAAATTACCAGAGGGTATATCTTCGTCACCATATCACCATCGCTATCTTCATCAACTTCATCATTATTGTGTTCATCGTCGTCATCTTATCAACATTGGCATGCTCGTCTGGTCTGCCCAAATAGAATGAAGGGACTTGAAAAGGAAGCGACCACAAATACTTGGAATATCTTGACTTGGAATAAAGTTAAATCCAGGTAAACCAAGCATTTGTTTTGTGTATTTATGTGTTTCCTTGTTAGGGCCGCGACCGACAAGGTCATCTGCATTTTATTCCAGGAAAAGTCCGAATACATTTGCCAGGCAAGCATCCAGGTTAGGTCCCTGTGGGGCCTAGTCCCATTTATGGTATTTGTTTTTTTTTTACCCCTATAGATAGATAACTATTGGGGTATATACTAATAGTAACCGAACACATATAATCAACACATAATCACTATATACTCGTACAATGAAGTGACAATAATGGATGTAACATGATGTAACCTTAAATTACCTTAAAAGCTACTACTAAGACCTACAATATAATTGATATAAGACCTTTACTACATCAGGGAACCTACTTGGTGGCTCATCCCACTTAGTAAGTGGGTTATAACCCCAGTTATAAACGGGATTTTTGTAGGGTTAATCCACTCAAAAAACTGGGGTGAACTAACCCACTTCGGATTCGTGGGATGAACCACCAAGTACTAAGACCTTTTTCGGGAACTTCTGGTAATGACTAACATAGCTATTGAAAATCACCATAGAAATAGTGAATTTTCCCATGAATAGCATGGTGGATCTTTCCATCGTTTTTTGTATGTTTACCAGAGGGTAACTTCTTAGACCACGGCGCCCCAGGTCTCTGTGATCTCCCGCGTCGGCGGCGCCGCCTTTGCTCTGCTGAAAGCCGACGGCTCCGTGGTGGCCTGGGGTGACCCTTCCAGTGGCGGCCAGCTGTCAAGGTCACAGGTTTCTTAGCTGGAAAGGCTAGCTGGAAACAATATGAAATGATGGGCTTAAAGAGCCTAAACTTGGGGATTTTGTTTGGGTTTTTTGTGGATGAATGGGGATTTATCTTGATTTATATAGATTGATATATGCATGTTAACCATCCAACAATGGGTGTGAACCATTGGAAGATGGGGACTTAACGACGATAAAATGGATGTAACAGAGATTGTTCATGGCATATATCACCAACAATATATGAATACCTGGGTGTGTCTGCAGATATACCCAACAACAGGTTCAAACACTGATTAGCCAGTGAATTTGGGAGGAAAATCCAAACGATGAAGGTATAGAACACGAAAAACCCACGCTGCTGCCCGAGAAAGCCTGGTTTCATGACTGGACCCGACAAATTGCAAGGTGCTACGGTGTTACATGCATTGGACATCCAGGAAAATAAGTTGGTAATCATCAAGTTTATCATGATATTATATGATATTATATGTTAAGATTTTTAAGATGGGAATTTCATGGATTTTCCATGGGATTTTGGCGCATGAACCTTTGGATTTTGTTTTGGGATTTCTGCGGATGAAGCCTGGGGCTTTATGGTGATTGATATGGATTGAAAAATGTTTTCTTTGGATTCATAGTTTATTTTGTGGCTGCAGATTCGTCAACTATGACTGGATGCGGCGTAAAAACCATCGCGCCCGCAGATGCGTCGTGTTATGGCCATTTTTCCTCCCTTTGACTCGGCAGGTTGGAATTGACCCTAGGTATTCATCAACTGATTGATGAAATCTGCGCTAGCATTCCCCAGCAATAGGTTACCCTCTGGTAAACTGCCAAAAAAACGATGTAAAACCACCATTTTATAGCTGGGCAAATCAACTATTTCGACTGGGCCATTTTCAATAGCTATGTTAGTTTACCAGAGGGTATCATAGATTGTCGACCAGCCAGTCCGTAGGCAACTATGTTGCGTATCAACAAGGATTTGTATCGATGATCCGATTCCAATTGCATCAATAGCAGTGAAGAATGAACATCAATGGTACAATATGATTTAATAATGTTAAATATTTTTTTCCCAGAAGGCGAAGGTTGAAATGGCTGGGGTACCAATGGGTGCAGAAATTTGAGGGTCATAACTTTTGACCTATACCCATACCATTCCTGTAGAATAATATATATATACATATCCATATGAATAATACCCCCTATGAATGTCTACAAGTTTTGTTTAATCATAATTATTTTTGATTCATGATCTTTCATTTTCCCCATCAATAATTTGGATTTACCATGGTTTCCCTATAGATATGAACCCCGCTTGTATATTGTTTACGTTTAACACGTATGGTTATTGTTGCTAATGTTCCCCATCAATAATTGGACTATGAAATAACCACAAATGAAAACCCGTATAGATATATTTATCATTTACCATCTTTTAGTCATTGCTAATCCTCCCCATCACTCATTTCTGTCACGTCAATCCGTTATTAACTATATGGGTCACTACTCTTCTTATATCTATACACATAATATATATATAAGGTTTACTAATCTTCTTATATAAATGTAAATATATGATATATGTATTTATATAATAAAACATGTATACATCATAAAACATGTATATATATAATAATATATATAATAATATATATAATAATATATATATAATAATATATATACAATATATATAATATAATGTATATAATATGAAATAATATATAATATATAATATTTTTGATATATAGAATATAACATATAATTTATAATATAATATATATGATATATATAATATAGTATATATAATATATGATATATATATATATATATAACATTGATATATATATACAATATATCTAATATATATACATACATATGATATATTATAAAATATAACATATATAATATAATATAATTTAATATAATATAATGTAATATAATATAAGATAATATAATTTAGTATAATATAATATATTTAATATTTTATAATATAATGTGTATATTATATAATATTATATTATAAAATATGATTTAATATAATACAATATATATGTATAACATATATAATACACAATACATCATATATAATTAATTTGATAATTTATATATATATATTATAATCTTCAATAGATATAATATTTGATATATATATATAATATTTTATATTATATACTATATATTATATGATATATTATATATAATATACGTATCTACTGGTATATCTCCATTATATCCCTGTTTTGTTATTTTTCCATGGTACATACCCTCCGGTAATTTCACGTAGCTTTGGAAAACCGCAGTTTTTAATAGGTACATCATCACTTTTTATCATCGAACCAAATTGGCAATTTTCCATAGCAAAACTGTTCAATAACCACAGGGTATATTCCATCTATAGAAGTTTAGATGGTTATGTATATATATACACTCCAAACGATCTCATTCATTACATCTTATAGATAATTGTCTATCCATCTTATAGAGAATTATCGATCAGATGGTGGACCTTTCCATGTTTACAATAACCAGCGGGTATATTCAATTGAATTCCACAAGATCCGATTAAATATCTACAAAATCCTATTGAAATCATATTAAATCAGATTAAATCCCTATTTGTTGAGGCTAAATCCATTGTGACTTGTACGTTTCAGGAAGACCAGCTGGACGACGTGCAGCAGATCTGCCCCTCCTTCGGCGCCTTTGCCGCTGTCACCGGCGACGGCCGGGTGATCACTTGGGGCGACGACGACTTCGGCGCCGACGCCTGGGAAAAAAACGCATGATCTATAGTAATAATAGTGATGAATAGTGGTGAATAGTGGTGAATAGTGGTTAATAGTGGTTAATAGTGGTTAATAGTGGTTGATAGTGGTTTATACTGGTTAATAGTGGTTAATACTGGTTAATAGTGATGGTTAATAGTGATGGTTAATAGTGATGGTTAATAGTGGTTAATAGGCTATAGACCAACAACAATGGGAATATGATGGTGATCTCGTTTGGGAATAGCATATAGAAAGATATCAACATAGCTAAGTTGGGGTTCACATAACTCCAATTTCACTATGGTTTATGATACGCAAATAATGGCTATAACTCTAGTTAATGGCTGTTTGGTGGTTTGGAACATTGGTTTAGTATGGGGTAATGATGGTTTATGATGGTTAATAATGGTCAATAATCACTAGTTGTCTTTTTGGAACATGGCTTTTATGACTTTCCATATATTGGGAATGTCATCATCCCAACTGACGAACTCATATTGTTCAGAGGGGTTGAAACCACCAACCAGCCAATGTTGGGCGTTTGCCGATCTGTTGAATGGTTTGTGGATGCTTTTGAGTCAACACACAAACCCGACGAAAGTTTGCAGGTTTAGTATTGTTTCAATTGGACCCACAGCCAGATTTTGGAAATACAGCCTTTTCACCACAGTTGGTTGGTTAGACGATAGCTCTGATAGGCTGTATCTGCGAAGAACTTGGCAAAACAACTAAACAACTTTTCCGAATTTCGGCAACCCAATGACCCAACAGCTGCATCGGTTTCTTGTTTCTTGATTTGAGTATGGGAATCATCGCCCAGACAACCATTTGGTCGACAATTCCCAAGAAGTGCCGTTGAACCCCCAGACATCCCAATGGCCAAGTACCCTCCGTCCCCTCCGTCAATCAAAGGTGGCTGGATCTTATCCAGCGTCAATCATTCGTTGATTTTCCCATGAAAGTGGAGATTGATCGGAGATTTTTCGGGACTTTTTTGATGTTTTTTGACGCCAGAGGGTAAAGAAGTTGTTGGTTTATAGCCTATTAACCACTATTAACCACTATTAACCACTATTAACCATTATTAACCATTATTACTTGGTGGCTCATCCCACTTAGTATGTGTGTTATAACCCCAATTATAAGTGGATTAACCCTACTTATCCCACTTATAACTGGGGTTGTAACCCACTTACTAAGTGGGATGAGCCACCAAGCAACCATTATTAACCACTATTAATTGTTTTTTACGCCATGTTAATAAGAGAATGCCAGTCTCACAATCGTCACTGCCAGTCACTGAGGATAGTCATCCAGTGAAGCATCAGCTCAGAGATGTGAAGGACTGGGTTGTGATACATGACTGGGACTGGTGGTTTCAAACATGGCTTTTATGACTTCCATAGTATATGGGATAATCATCCCAACTATGGTTTATGATACGCAAAGAATGGCTATAACTATAGTTAATGGCTGGTTGCTGGTTTGGAACATTGGTTTAGTATGGGGTAATGATGGTTAATGATGGTTAATCATGGTTAATAATCACTGGGACTGGTGGTTTCAAACGTATGGCTTTTATGACTTCCATAATCCAAAAATGGGTTGTCATCCGAAACCCATTGACGAAGTCCATCATTTTTCAAGATGGTTGAAACCACCAAGCAGATTATTATTAACCATCATTAACCAAATAACTTTATATTAACCATTTAACACCACCAAGCAGATGATCTTGTAGCTGCTAACCAGCTGCAGTTCACTGGGGATGTGCTCCAAGCCCTGGGGCTTGGGGCTACAACCCCAGTTCTCCTCACTTGGCCGCAGAAAAGTAGTAAGTTGGTGCCCGTACCCAGCTGACGAAAACCGACATCCGGGCCCAAAATCACCATGCGTCTGCAGCCGAAAGCGTTGTTTTATTGGGATTGATTGGGATTTTGTTGCGGACACGCTTTCAAGAAGTTTTAATATTATAAGATAGCAGATAGCACAATATATGTTGATATATGTTGATATGTTGTCGGTTTCGAATGTGTGGGTGATGCATTTTCAGCATGACATGACGCAGGAAGTTTTCGGCACTGGCTTTGCATTTGCTGCGCTCAAGAAGGATGGCTGTGTCGTGACTTGGGGGGAGGCTTGGATTAGACGGGTAGACGGGAATTTACCCTCTGGTAATGACTAACGTAGCTATTGAAAATGGCCATTAATAGTGGATTTTCCCATTAAAAATGGTGATTTTCCATAGTTATGTTAGTTTACCATGTTTACCAGAGGGTATGTGTCATGACACCATGTTTTGCCCTAAAATTGAGGTCTTAACGATGAGGATCAAGCTCTAAGTGGAAGATTTTGCGATCGTGGAATTTCAATCATGTGCTGTCCAGAAACATCCAGAAACGACCAGAGAAGTGGATTGCATCTGCCATGTTCCATGGGAAAAACCAGCAAATATATCAGGATATATCAGGGTTCCTCCCATTACAGGTGAATCATACCACGTGGGGAGTGCACATTTTCATACATTTTCCTTCTTGTGTTGCTTATTTTTCCTGGTGTTCGAACCCTTCAAGGGTGTTGGAAGAAGCACGGCATTCAGGCGGCTTCTACTCCCACCAAACCAGGGCACCGCTCGACTGATACCTCGGACTGACCGCCATTTATAGCACCCCCCCAAAAAAGAAGGATCAAACAGTAATCGACCACTATTTGGGTGTTATTATGGTCATAGTATGTCATAGTATTTAGATGACCCATAAAAGTAATCTACCAAAAGGATATATCTACTTTTCTATATATATACATAATCATATGTATATATATGGGTGTTATCAAAGATGTAGCTCCATTGCAACCATTGAAGCGCTGACTGGGGATGCATGCCTACCTTTTCAAAGCTAGGAAAACTATCCCGGTGGAGACAGCCGAGCTGTTCAAGGCCAGTTGTCAGATGTTCGAACGCCCCTTGGAAGTCTTGGGATTTCAGGTGGGGCACCCCAAGTTATCATCCAAAATTGCTGATTTCAATGGGAAACCAATGGTCTTGGAGTCTAGAGTCTTGGGCCACATTTTAGGAAACCCTGGGTTGTGGAACCTATAAGATTCATGGTTTAATGCAATGCGTTGAAACTTTGCAGAGTTCGTTTGGAGGTACGTACAGCAATTACTTGCAGGATCTTCTACAGGATGGTGCCCCCCAGTTATAAGTTGGTTTATAAACTCGATTAACTAAAGTTATATCTACCATAAACCATAGAGACATAGAATTCAGCCACTTATAAGGCAACTGAACGCTATCTCGTGGGCCCCATCCTGTAGGGAAATGTTGAGACGGGGCAGCGGGGCGTTGTCAAATGACATCGAGGATTGCTGCCTCGAGCTATGCCTTTGCTGCAATCCGGGAGGATGGAAGTGCTGCTTGGATGGCTGACATTTGGGTAATTGAACAACCAGCATTCAACCAGTCAACCTAGAATCTTCTGTGGAATGCGTGTGGCATGCTGGTTGTATAACCAAAAATTATTGCTGACATTTGGGTTTCCCATTTTCTGAATTTTGGTGCTATACAGTAATCAATCTAATCTTATGCGGAAACCTCTTTGCTTCGGGAATCCTAAGGTTGAACTAAGGTAGACAGCTTTTGTTAGAAGCCAGCTCCGCACAGCCACATGTTTGTAAGAGTGGGTGTACGTATAGATGTATCTTTATATTAAACGTATACTATATATATACAAATATGTATTAGGTATAGATAATTACTATTATATAATATATATATATACATGTGTGTAATTATGTATACCTTTATTTATATACCTTTATACTAACTATGGACATATGTGACTACTATATATATATAGCTTACAATCGATCCTTGCTACACATATATGTATACGTCAGTCGTTCATCTATGATATCATACAACATATGGGGATGGCTCGAAACCGATGGTACGAGAGTTTTGACCTGTACGCATGTTGATACATAAAAAGAACAGCCCCTGAATTTGAGGGGGAACCGCAGACATGGTACATGGTGTTGTTACCTTTCCAAAAATTGCCGTTCTTGGGTTTCATCTTATTTTTTTGGGTGTACTAATGTTTTCATGGTTACCCTCCGGTAATTGAACAGTGCGCTATTTATCAGCCATCGCCCATGTATAGATGATTTTTTGAATATATTCATAGAATTTAATCTAGAACGGTGATTACAGATGATTTTCCCACTAAAAGCTCCATTTCTTATGGATTTTCCATAGCAATGTTCAGTGAAAGGTCGTGACCTGGGGGTCGAAGAATCCTCCGGTGGATGCAGAGGAGACCTGACGTGGGGCCCCTGTTGGTAGATGGTGGGCTTATCCCATGGAAATCCCATGATTTACCATGTTTAACCAATGGGATAACCATCATTTAACCAATGGGATTAACCAATGGGATAACCATAATAGATTATTAACCATTATTAACCATTATTAGCCATCATTAACCATCATAGCAATAGTTACCAATGGGGTAATGATGGTTAATGATTGTTAAAAAAATGGTTAATAATCACTGGTTGATAATTTATGGCCCTAATCGAAATAGATATGGTTTACCGAACCTAATAGCATGGGGATTTTCCATGGCGAACTGTTAGTCATAACCAGATGGTATAAATGATTATCTGGTTGGTGGTGACTGGAACCATGGAATTTTCAATGTGCCCCCATAGTTGGGATGATGATCCAATCTGACGAACTCATTTTTTTCAGGGGGGTTGAAACCACCAATTAGTTTACCATGTTTCATATTCAATAGTTACCAGTTGGTGCAGGATTCCGCAAATCCCTTCCCCCTAATACTAACCCCCCCACCATTAATAAACACCTCAGGTAGTTTTTATTCTTAGGTGGGTATTTATTATTAGAGAACCCTATTAATACATTTATAACCTTAATAATAAAAACTAGTTCGTTCGATTTCAAAATCAGTTAAATTTCCTTAATTATATAACGCAATGAAACTATTGCAAAAAAATGGATTTCGAAGCGGATCCTATTGATCAAATTAAAACCTCAATAATAAAAACTAGTTTTTTTGATTTCAAAATCAATTACATTTCCTTTTATAACGCAATTGAAATATAAAAAAAATGGATTTCGAAGTGGACCCTATTAGTAAAATTAAAACCTTAATATATAATTATATAATAAAAACTAGTTTGTTCGATTTCAAAATCAATTAAACTTCCTTGTATTACGCAATTAAAATGTTGCAAAAAATTGGATTTCGAAGCGGACCCTATTAATAAATTTAAAACCTTAATAACAACTAGTTTGTTCGATTTCAAAATCAGTTAAATTTCCTGATATAACGCAATTAACACATTGCAAACAATTGGATTTCGAAGCGGTCCCTATTAATAAATTTAAAACCTTAATAATAACAACTAGTTTGTTCGATTTCAAAATCAATTAGATTTCCTTATATAACCCAATTAAGATATTGCCAAAAATTGGTTTTCGAAGCGTGCCCTAATTATAAATTAAAAACCCTACTATAAAAAAAATCGGACGGATCCTAATAATAAACACCCCGGGGTTAACTATAGTTTTTATTATTAGGGGGCAAAACCCACAAATGGTATCTTTATTTTTAATCTGTCTTCTAAAGGGGATCAATTAAAAGTCAAATTGGCCAACCTGAAATTTTCCAAACTGGGAGATGGACCCTAGTTTTTAGTATTTGGGGGACGTTTAGTAATAGGGGGAAAGGATTAATTCAAAATTGGAAGGGAGACAACTATAGTATTCATAGGGTGAACCAAATGTAAATGTGTGGGCCACGTTTTGTATGTGCATATAATTGTATATGTCATATGTAGAAAGAACTTGGGCAATAAGGGGAAACTAGTTGCATAATGATGGGAATATATTATGGAATAGTACATGAATGTGAAATTCAACCTAGTTTTGCTATTCGAGTTCCCGTTTTGGTCAGTTAACATCTTCATGTTTCCTCGGAAACACCTGCATACCTTTCAACAGAAACCCACTTCAAGTGACAGTTCCACCCTAAGTCGTCCAACAATCTAAGAGAGGTCATAACATGTCAAAGCAAATTACAGAAAGCCGCATAAACCAACCATTATAGACCAACTATGGGTGTTTCGCTCACACAGTTTTGCTGTTGCGGAGATCGAAAAAAAATATTGCTCAACATCTTCATGTTCAAAGGTTTTTGGGTGGTTTCAAAGAACTCGTGGCTTTCACCCTACCCAGCATGATGATCCCAATTTTATCTTTCAATTTTTTTTTTGGGCGGGGCCCTTCAAATCGGGAAAAAAAAGAGTTGCCTGTAGTCCTTTCCAATAATAAATCACCGAACGTCATGTGGAAATGGAATTTTTATGGATGTCGTAATATTAGTACTGGTGAAACTCAACAGTCAAGTTTCGTGGGATGATTTTCCAAGTAGGCATCTTCAGGTTATGTATCCCATTCTCCCAATTTAATCCCATTAAATCACCATAATTCACCATTAAATCATCATCAATCACAATATATCACCTAGAAATCACCATAAATCACCATTAAATCACCATTAAATCACCATAATTCACCATTAAATCACCATAATTCACCATTAAATCACCATCAATCACCATAAATCACCTAGAAATCACCATATATCACCTAGAAATCACCATAAATCACCTAGAAATTACCATAATTCACCATTAAATCACCATAATTCACCATTAAATCATCATCAATCACCATAAATCACCTAGAAATCACCATATATCACCTAGAAATCACCATAAATCACCTAGAAATTACCATAATTCACCATTAAATCACCATAATTCACCATTAAATCATCATCAATCACCATAAATCACCTAGAAATCACCATATATCACCTAGAAATCACCATAAATCACCTAGAAATTACCATAATTCACCATTAAATCACCATAATTCACCATTAAATCATCATCAATCACCATAAATCACCTAGAAATCACCATTAAATCACCATGAAATCCCAGGAGCTGCAGAACGTGACGCACATCGCCGCCAGCCACGAGGCTTTCTGTGCCCTGCGCTCCGATGGGCGCTGCGTTACCTGGGGCGCTGCCAAGTTTGGGGGCGACAGCCGTGGCGTCCGGGCGCGGGAGCCAAGGGGTGCCAAGGGATGCGCCATGAACAGGGCGGTGAAGCATGAAACATTGGCGGTTTTAGCATGTTTCTAACCATCCTGAAATGGTGATATCTAGCTACTATGATATGAAGATTTTTGTGAAAAAAACAGATGAACTGTGGAGCTGTGGTTGGAATGGTTGCAACCTGGATGTCACTGATTATCCCATCCGCGTTTGTGTTTTGTTGCAAAGTTTGAAATGGCGATGTACGTCTTCATTTCGGAGAGGAAGACACAAATTACAGACTACATTACATCAAGTACTGGTGATTTCTAGCCAACTTGCCATACTTGGTGCAGTTCCACTTAAAAAGTGAGAGGGGATATACCCTCTGGTAAACTAACATAACCATGGAAAATATTGGAAAATCACCATTTTCAATGGGTAAATCAACTATAAATGGGCCATTTTCAATAGCTATGTTAGTCATAACCAGAGGGTAACATTATTTAGCCATGTAGTTGCAGTGGATCGAAACTCATGGTTGTGAAATCGCCATGGTTGTGCCACGTTGTACCCACACAGATACCGGCAACCATCGCCAACCGTACCCACAAGCGTCACCATGGTCACCACGTGGGGTTGCAGTTCCACTTATAAGTTGATATATATATATAACAAAAATATATAATATATAATATATAATATACAATATAGAATACATAATATATAATAAAATAACATATGATATAATATGATATGATATAATATGACACAATACAATAAAATAATATATATATATAATATGATAAAATATAATATAAAATGAAATAATATAATATAATATAATGTAATATAATATAATATTTAATATTATATATAATATAATATAATATAATATAATACAATACAATACAATATAATATAATATAATATAGTATAGTATATGTAATATAATATAACAAAATATAATATAATATAATATAGTATAATATAATATAATATAATATATAATATAATATAATATAATATAATATAATATAATATATATACACATATATATATATATATGTATGTATATACACATATCATATAATTATATATACACATAATAACCATAGTTATAGAGGTTATATCCCACCGTTACAGTGATTAGAATGCATCTCAATAGCCATGAAAATCACCCCTGGCACCCTTGGTCATACCATGATACTCCCCCAAAAATATCAACATCCTATGAAATCCTATGAACAATCAGCAGCTTGGGATTTCCATGCACCGGATTGCTGCTACCGCTGCTAGGATCGTTTGGGGAACTATTGGGATTTCAATGGATTTCATTGGAAATGAATGGAAATTCAAACATCGGAAATTTAAATTCATGGAAATTGGAAATGAAGGTGACTATGGGAGGTGGAGAATCAAACAGTATTGCCCGGAGATCCACCAATGGGGAATGTTCCGGCGGGGCTTCAATTTTAAGATCCAAGGAACTTTTTGTGCATTATGTAACTATATCATACTATATCTAACTTATATACATATTATGGAGGTTTCCTGAAATAGGAGTACCCCCAGTCATCATCCATTTTTTCTTGGGATTTTCCATGTTTCATTAACGATCCATAAACCATCCAGCTATTTGAATAGCCCCATTTATGAACAAACCACCATATGTATACTATGTATCTGATTGGTGGTTTCAAACATTTTTTATTGTTCCATTTCATATATGGGATGTCATGCGAAACCCATTGACGAACTCCATCATTTTTCAAGATTGTTTTTTAACCACCAACCAGGTATACTGTTTACGTAGACACCTCTGGTTACAGCAGCCCCTTTCAACGCTCCAGGTGATTTGTCAAATGTGCAGCAGCTCCTTGGCGCCCAACAAGATGATCATTGAGCGCCCTTATCCCATCAGGATTTGTAAGGAATCTAAATGGAATCAATGAGATTGATGGACATCAATAGATTGATTAATGGTATTATAATTATTATTAATAATGATATCATTATTATATTATATTATATATATTCCAATCTCTATATATGGATGTTGAATCCATTTATATCATATGGAAACACATTAAAATTGATGGGAATATCATATAGGACTTTTTTTTTCCCCGGAGATAAAAATCAAAGGTGGCGGACAGCTGGGAACATCGATAAACCAGGTGATTTCTAAGCCAGGTTTGACTACAGGAGGGTTTAGAGTCAGAGTCTTGGCTGACAATTGAGCCATTGAGGTTCAGGATCTGGAGTGGAATAGATGGACTATGATGGATTATGATAGTAAATGGAATTTCATGGATTTTTTTGATAGTTGGTGATGCTTTCCCAATATTCCCATGCCTCTTTCAGCCTTGACTCTTCATCCATGTGGCAGTGTTCATCCTCCCTGGCTAGTTGAGAACACTGCCACGCTGCCACGGGGTCAATAAACATCACTTCCGAGAAACATCAGCTACCCTCTGGTAAACAAACAAAAAACTATTGAAGCCATGGCCATAGAAATAGTTGATTTACCCATGAAAAATTGTGAGTTTCCATTGGTTTTTGTATGTTTACCAGAGGGTAATGTGGTTACAACAATGCCATAAACTATCCATGACTGGGAATGGCAAACATACCACATCAAGATGGTGATAAAACTGGGAGATGGTTTATTATTGTTTGTTTTAACCACATTAAACCAGATAGGTTCCCGAGCCCCATGTCACAATCAACCACAAGATCAACTGGTCGCTGCTGATCTCTGCAAGGATTGTGGCCTCGCACGGTGCTTTTGCTGCAGTGCGCTGTGATGGTCGTTGTGTGACATGGGGGGCTGAAGAATATGGAGGCGATAGCAGCCAAGTGCAGGACGTCACATCGTTGATCCACTTCCATACCATGCGCGAATAATCTGAGTATGTTCAGGTGATTTTGGCCGCTGGCCATTTCGGGCTTGGAAGCCCGGCTTGGGATCACAAAGCCCCACTTGAACAGGCACATTTTTTTTTCGGAAATGGAGAGGTTTTGCTATGACTCAACATATCATAGTTGCGTATTTGGCCACCGTGGAATCAGGTGATGTTTTACCATTTGACTTGACACATCATTCTGACCACTACCAAAGACGACCTGACGCCGATTGAAGGATCAACTGAAGAATGTGCAGTACGTCACACCATCAAAACGAGCGTTCTGTGCTGTCCTGACGGACGGTAGCCGCTTGGATGGAGATGCGGGGAAGGTCACTGGCCATCTCAGGAACCTAAATTGGAGGTACCTACCATATATAAGGTCTATTTTTCAGGCCTAAATTTCAGGGAATATCCCCAGAAAATATGGCCAGAAATATACGTTTACCGTTTACCTACCTCCATGTATTGGATCCTGAAGATCTCCCATTTTTTTCAGGGTATCCCAGCAGAATCGATGGGAAGTTCCCCACATCCTGTGGCAGGCGTGGTGTCTTGGGGAGATCCCATGCGCGTGGCCGAGATGTTGGATGTTCAGGAGACCCGAGATGCGGGGTCTGGAGACCTTTGGAGAACCAGCGCTTCATCATGGTTCATCTATGTTAGCAACTTTGAATTGTAACTATGGTTCATATATGTTAGAATATCATGGTTCATGAATTCTAATGTGTTACAATATCTAACTATGGTCATATATGAACCAGTCATGAATTAGAATATCTATGACTATATGACCACACATGTATATATATATATAGATAAGATACTGGAAGGGTAATAGTCTAAGAATGATTTCTTTAATGCCGGTAGAACCCGCGTGCATAGTGGATCAACATGTTTTGGCAAGAGAGTCATTTCGCTGGTAAAGCAGACTAGTGTAATCTGTGGCACTCAAATCAATTTTTTCCAGGTAAAGCCACATGTTCCATCCTTTTCTGCTTTGCTTGCCAACTGAGCCATTAAACATACCCTTAGGTTAATGATTGGTTGTGATAGAGGATCGTTATCAGATATTTTGTGCCATAATAGGAATATCTACTATTAATTAATGTATTTACATATGAACCAGTATTTCATGGGACATAAGTGAACATTTTTCATAACAATTCATGATAATTCAACTGTTAATTCCATGTGAATATCGTCATGGTTTTGACCAAATTCTAGAGCCATATTCTGAAATTTTCCAAAACTATGAATTTACAATTGCAAATCATGTTTTTGTATTCTGAATATGGAATAAGAGTAAATTTCCATATATGATCTCCATATACTTCACCAAATATATTCCATATATAATACATATATATATATATGGATATGTATATATATATATATCCATATATATATATAAATAAATAAATATATATATATATATGTATATGTATATTCCGTTCACCATGGCTCAGGAGCAGCTGCACGACGTCCAACAGCTGAGCGCCTCCAGCAACGCCTTCTGCGCGGTCTTGGGCGATGGCCACTGCATCACCTGGGGCGACCCGGGCTTCGGGGGCGACAGCAGTGGCTCGGCGGAGGTTTCGGTGCTGGAAAAACTGGATGGTTTGGATTTTCTGCAGATGCTTAGAACGGACAATTATATTTTTTTTTCTTTTGAACATATGATAAGATATCAGAAAATGATTTAAACTTGATAGAACATGCATGAAGATGGTAGAAAATCAGATAAAATCCTACGAATATGTATTAATACTTACTAAGAATTGATATTGGTAAGCTAAGAATGGAATCCAAGAAACAGTTTTGAACTAATTGTGTCCCCATAAGAATGAGATGCTCGCTTAGAAACCCTGATTTAGTGTTGGATGATATAGGATCTACTGTATTAGGGTGAAGGGATAGCTGAGAATCTGGCTACACACACAGAGCTTGAAAGATCATAGCACTGGGGGACATAGCCTCTGGTAAACTAACAGTTTGCTGTTGAACATCACCATTTTTAGTGGGTAAATCATGGTAAATCCACGATTTCTATGACCATTTTCAATAGCAAACTGTTAGTCATTACCAAAACTGTCAAGGGACCACTATGGAAACCCCAATCCCATCACCAGCTCAAGCAGCCCCTCGAAAAATCAAATTGAGATCCATGCGAGTCACAGACTTTGGGATATGCGTGGAGGTGATCATGTGACGCCAAGAACTGAAACCGGTTTTGTCAGAAAATGATTTGCATGTGAATACAGCTGCCACTTGACGTGGCAGTTGTATCGCTTGCTTGGCTTTCTGTGTATGGCTGCTATAGTATGATAGTAATTGATAGTATGCATTTTTTTAGCTCATGAGCATGAACCGTTTTGTCTTGACGCATTTTCCTTTCACTGCCTGGAAAAAGAGGCCCTACTTGACTGCAAGTTGCATATACCTTCCGCTTGTGCTGAACATACAATCGGCCCACCATTTCAGAACTTCAGCCTTCATCCAAAAGTTTCCGTTGTGATATACTCTTTTTATAAATCTATATTACATACACAAAACTGTGGGAATGCAGGATCCAGAACTTAGTGGTATTCAACAAAATGAAGCGACAACTACTGCAATCTCTGTCATTATATACCCGATTTAAGCACATCTATAAACTTTAATATGATATATATATATACACATGTATGTTTATATATATATATGTATGTATATATGTATACTTGTTTATATATATACACACATATGTGTACATTATATATGTATATAATTATTTTGGAGAAATATCCCCAACTCATGGCTGCTCTCCGCCAAGGTAAGGTGGCTCAGCAACTTCAAGACGCCTCGAAACGCCTCAAGCCGCGACTGAAACGCAGCTTTTCGGACACCGCGGTGAGTAAAAAAAAAATCACGCGCAGAGCAGGTGGATCTGGGTGATTTCTTGGGGAGTCTCGGGTGACAAACCATCATAAACCATGATTATCATGGTTAATAGTATCTGATACCATTAAATTTAATAACGAAGATCAAACAACACTATCAACAACTAGTAGACATAGATGGCAAAGTTCTTGGAAGCTGTTGTTTCTGTCTTGTTTAAGTGTTTGAGTTATTAATCCATTGCTGGCTTGGCAATTTAGAGATGGATCGCAAGGTTTCCCCTTGGATGCCATATCCACCATTGCATCATATTGCATCCACATCAGTTTTCCTGTACCCTCTCGTAAACTAACATAACTATGGAAAATCACCATTTTTGATGGGTAAATCAACTAAGTCTATGGCCATTTTCAATAGCTATGTTAAATTACCAGAGGGTAATCTTTGCCCATGCTTGGTTTTGAATCCACCAATTGGTAGAAAATAGTAGATTGAGATAGATTGAGACATCATTGTAAAGTGTGAAACATGGACATTACATGAGATTATGGATGATTGCAATGATATAATATTATTGCTACAATTACAGGTACTAATGCTATCTATTATCATTATTGGTTTTATGGACTATTATGTATTTTTTAATGAATTATTATGATTATTATAGGTTTAATAGTACACATATGTATATAACAAATCCCAAAGTGGCAACTGATGACAACGCCTTTTTCACAGTTACTGGTTATTGTTACGGTTAAACAATTCATGAGCGATTTTGGATTGCTGATGAGTACTGCTGATTAGGACTTATTACGGATGATAAACGCGAATTCAGTACCAAATCCACACAATATTAATATATCTACAAATGCATTTCTAGTTTTACTAGCATTATCATCACCATTACATATGAATCAGATATAATGGCAATAATTATGCTAGAAATAATACAAATGCCAACATATCGAATAAGCTGATAGATTAGTTTTTTATAACTTCTAAAATCTATAGATATCTATAGACAATATATGGATATTCTTTCATCCATTCATCCTCTAAGCTTTTCTCCGGCACTGATCAGCTGGTATCAGCCCTGAGGCGCGTTCTGCAGCGGAGCTGCAGTTATGCCTGCTGCAGGGGCGACCCAGAGAGGGAGATTCGGGAGATTCGGGAGATTCTGAGGGGATTTTCTGAAATGTCGATGTCACAAATGTATATATATATAATATATGTATATATCTATTATATTATATTATATTATATTATTTATATATACATGAGTTTCTTTGGGTTCTTTTTCACTGAAACCCTAAATCCTGTCCTAAAGAAACCCAACAAATCTACGGATGTTCGGTGAAAGAAGTGTCGTGGCGTCGGTTCGATCGCGGCGGTCGTGGCGGTTGCCATGAGCGAGTTCGATGGTGGTTGAACCGCGGAGTTCCCACAGATTGTGAATCGCCCGATGAGAAAAGGTGTAGCACCAAAAAAAGAACAAAAATAAATGTAGCCTCTAGTAAATTCACATATCTCTGCAAAATTGCCAATAGGTATTTCGTTGATAAAAACCTATTCTTTGAGAAGGATTTTCTGCTGGGTTTTTTGCATGGCAATAGTGGCAGGCCCAAAGAGATGAGACAGAGCAGTGCCCTTCAAGAGGCGGAAGGGACGAAGGGATGTGGATGGCCCCCCAAAATGTGGGCATTCGGCAACCAAGTTGTGAAGCACAAGAACTGGTGTTAAAAGAAGGGGATTTAAAGTGATTTAAATATGAGGATTTACTAAATCAATCTAAATCACATGTTGATCAAGTTGTTGTTGATGTCAAAATTCAATATTTTGGGATTCCATGTCATGTGATTTAATCATCAACAACTAAAGATTCTAATGGGATCTGATGGGATTCAAGTGGATGCAGTATACCGGTGTCATCAAACATGGCTTGCAGCGAACTAAAGCTCCATTTGGTTTGTTTTCCAGCCAGCCACGTTTGATTACCAGAGGATATAACATGGCGATGATAATGGTGATGGTGGTGGTGATGATGATGGTGATGATGTTGATGATGATTGATTGATTGATTGATTGATTGATTGGTTGGCTGGTTGATTGATTGACTGACTGACTGACTGACTGACTGATTGATTGATTGGTTGATGATGATGATGATGGTGATGATGATGATGATCATTATCATTATCATTATCATTTTCATTTTCATTATCATTATCATTATCATTGTCATTATCATTATCATTATCATTATCATTATTGTGATTGTGATTATTGGTGATTATTGGTGATTACTGGTGATTACTGGTGATTATTGGTGATTATTGGGGATTATTGGGGATTATTGGCGATTATTGTTATTATGATTCATCCTTGTAAATTGTGATGATGGAGGACGATGTTTTCAGCCATCGGCCTTTTGGAATCCCATCCGATGAAGCGCCTCGCGCAAAGGACGGCTCCATCGAGGATGCAACCATTGCACGTAGAGGGACCCCAGATTGTTGCTGTGGGATATCTATATATATAATACATATATCATATATATATATAATATGTAAATTGCAGTAAATGTATATATATATATGTGTGTGTGTGTTGATATTCTTGCCCTTCACGTCCTTTTATGGGATAGTAATGCTGGTTTTCCATAGGAAATTGCGTTTTAATAGGAGATGATACTGTATCTCATGGGAAATCAATCTTGACAATGACAAACACAACTTGTTGACCGTCTATACATCCCTTTGATGTAAAGATGATGAGAATGAAGGACTATCAACCAGGGACCATGAAACATCTCCGAAGAATAGTTCAATATCCTAGACCCTGATCCCCAGTATCTTCAGGCTCATAAAAAGCGTACTGTGAAAGCGCTGTCCAAGATTTTAGGACAATCCCACTTCGGCATTGGGTGCTGGAAGATCGATCGGCCAGATCTGGGAATGGTTTGAGTTTGGTTTGATATGGTTTAAGACCAAAAATGACTAGCCATTGGTGGGTCCACTGCTACCAACTGTTCTCCCATTGGTGGGGTCGACATGCTGTTGCCATCCGAGGCTGGCTCTTCAGTCGCATGGCTGTGGCGCTTCCCAGATGCGGGTTGCTTTCAACTTTTGGCAGCAGAATGTGAGTGGAATGCATCTTTAGAAGTTTTCGTAGTTCTGTGGTTATAACATGTTATAGCTTCTCTCCTTGTGTCCTATATCCTTTTCTGTTGATTCTGCAGGCAATGGATGTAGGTCTGCATTGGGGACCACCCCACGGTAGCTTCCCATCATGATGGACCTTTTGGGATGGATCCACGGGAACTACAGCATTTTCTACCGACATACGGCCGCAGCCCGGCTGCCACCCTTTTAATAGGCCCTATATGGTCAGCACACGTGGCCGATGGAGGGGTCACGGTGCGAAGGTTGACCTAATGGCTGAAGGTGACATCGGCAACTAATTCCGTTTGGAACGATGGTTTCCTGTAAATGGTTCCTTAAAACACTCCAATACTGTTTGGCGATTTGGAACATGTTTTTTTTTCTCAAAAGGTTGGTGAATGGGATGGTTGAGACTTATTATACAGTATATATATACTGTTTGGTGATTTGGAACATGATTATTTTTCCATTCAGTTGGGAATTTCATAATCCCAACTGACTTTCATATTTTTCAGAGGGGTAGGGCTCAACCACCAACCAACTCCAATATCATCAAACAGCCCATGAATTCATCATTTTGGTGAACTCCCCATGAAACATACCATTTCCCCTCTGTTTCATGTATAGATGATAACAATGATCATTTATCTATAGAATAGAATGCA